CACACTTAATCTTCCCTACGATGTAGGGTAGGTAGGTTTACGATCCCTGAGCCCGGACACGGAAACCTAAGAAGGTATGGGCCAAGGAGTCGTGAGGCACGGCTGGAAAGACAAGGCGCCACGAGAGGTTGTATAACCTCCCCAAGTCACACAGGCACCGCACAGTGGAGCTGGGCGAGCAAGGGGGTGCGGAGAGGTCGGAATCGGAGCTCATGTCAACACGACGAGGGTCGTGATGAAATGTGAGTGGAAATACGGACAGGGAATGTGCACTGTGATGCTATACCTGGCCTGCCCAGATAGCTAACAACCTCATGGTTTCTTTACAAATAACAGCAAATGACTTTAGGTTTATCTTCCCTCAGAAAAACAGAACAATCCTTGAGAGTACCAAGCACTATGTTCTGCTCATGCCCCCACACACCTGGAATCCGTGCCCCAATGCATGGCATAGATTTTGGCCAAGTGCCCCCTCAGCGTTCTCCTGGTGCGCATCTGGATTCTTCCCACCGGGTCGATGTTGTTTGTGATCTTAAAAATAAAAGTTACTGCAAATTAAAAGTCTGTGATGGCATGACCTCCCCTGGGGCCTCCTCTCCTCCCCTCCCACCCTGCTTGGCAGCCCCAGCTGCCTCGGGCCGTCTGTGCCGTTTGCCCAAGGCGCTGTGCCCACCCATCTCCCGCCGGTCACCCGGCTGGCTCTCCCTGTGACTCCTCCTGCTTACCGTGGTACCTACCTGCCTTTCGCGGTCGGTAGGAAGTCCACTGCTCTACCTGCTTTTCAGGAGCTCCATCCCCCCCAGAGTGCACACACGGCGCCCGTCCACAGGTGTGCGGCCCGCCCGAGTCTCCCCCACTTCCCCCAACTGCTTGTCCAGGCGCAGCTCCTCCCGCCCTCCTTCCACATTAGTCTCAGCCTCCATCACAACCGAACACAGGCCCGCGGCTCACACACTGTCCGCAGCGACCAGGCCGTGCACTGATGCGGACTATGCTGCTGCTTCCGGCACAGAGCCAGACGTGAACACCCGCGGGTTCACCGTGACACGTAAAAACGGACAGTAACGATTCGGAGCTGACAGACAGACTGAGTATTACTGCAATAATGGGGCCCTTTTAAAAAAGATGTTATTTTTAAGTAATCTGTGCTTAAATATCTAACATGGGGCTCACGCTCACGACTCTGAGACTAAGAGCTGTGTGCTCTACCTACTGAGCTGGCCAGGCACCCCAACTGTGGGCTTCAAAAATGCACAGTCCCAAGTATATCTGAGAATTCAAATTTAGGAATTCTATGAAGGGCAGTTTTTTCTAACTTACTGTTTAACTCCAATTACAGCACGTCCCCAAAGGCACTGGGACAACGTAGCACATTTAGCCATCCTCAGTACAAGTACGGACATAATTTTCGTTCATGTTTGCTTAATTCTTTGGACTTTTAATGAGGTGCAATTCACCGTTTTAAAGTGAACAAGCCCGCAGCGTTCAGCACGTTCACACTGCTGTGCAAGCACCGCGCTCTCTCGAGTCCCAGGACGCCCTCGCCCCCCGAAGAAACACCACAGTCCCCCCGGCCCGCCCGAACTCCCGGCAGCCCCCAACCTGCACCACCTCCGGGGGTCTGCCTGCTCTGGGCAGCCCCGCACCGTGTGCCCTTGCGTGTACGTCCGGGCTTTCACAGGGCATCCTGTTTGAGGTTCATCCCTGCACTAGATATACCCCTAGTGCCTTCCTGGTTACGGCCCAGTAATATTCTGCTGTGTAAAGGGACTGCACTGTGCTGACGCGGTCATCCGTTCACAGAAACCGTGGCTGTCTCCACCTTCTGGAAACCGTGAACGGGGCAGCTGAGAACACACACGTGCATATACCTGTCTGAGCACCAGGTTTTGATTCCTTCGGGTTGTATCTAGGAGCAGACCTGCTGGCTCGTAATTGGTGTGCAACTTTCTGGGGATCTGCTAAACTGGACTTTTAGAAAGCCAAGTTCTGAGGCAAACTGTGTTAAGGAGAAGAGCTTCAAACTATCTTAAGACTGTCATATCTTGCAATTCTGACCTCCGTAATAGTAATTACCTAAGGCTTGTGAGACATTAATCTTTCATGTAAAAAACCTCTACTCCCTGTGCCTTCTGAGTGCAATGCTTCCAGCAGTGTTTATACCCTCGCTGTGTGAGAGGAGAGGGCCAGAGTGCAGCTCGCCCTCGTGGCAACAAATGTAGGTGCTGCCGGGCACCAGCCTCAATGCCAGGCGGGCGACGCTACGTAAATGGGTCCTTACCTGAGAGAGAGTTGCATCTGCACACGCTTTTCTAGCATCCTAGGAAAAAGAATGACAAAGGGAGAGTCAGTAACGCGTCACACACATTCAATCCCAGGTCCTCGCGCCAAAGCTTCGGAGCGCCTCACGGACTGCCAGGAGCAAAAGCAAAAAGCAAGAGGATGACGCCCTCTCCCCATTCCTCTGCTCCAACACAGTCCAGGGCCGCTGGCAGTCCTGCTTCCCATGCTCCAGGTTATACCCGCTGCATTCGAGGCCGGCGGCTCACCTCCTAGCCAGCACCGCACCCCTGCGACCCCGGAATCGCCCTTGCGGCTCCCCCTCCTGCTGGCCACGGCGCCTATGCTTGTCCACAGACCTGCTTGTGCACCTTGCTCTGTCTTTCTAACGGCGCGGGAGCCGTGAGGCTCAGAGAAACAAGTCCAAAAAGCACTGGAGATCTAGCCCAAAGAACTTTCCCTCCAGATCATGTTATCTTAAGATTCTGTTTTCTTTTTTTTAATGTTTATCCATTTTTGAGAAAGAGAGAGAGCGAGCGAGCACGAGCAGGGAAGGGGCAGAGACAGAGGGGAGACACAGAATCTGAAACAGGCTCCAGGCTCCGAGCTGTCAGCACAGAGCCCAGTGAGGAGCTTGACCCCGCAAGCCGTGAGATCATGACCTGAGCTGAAGTCAGACGCTTAACCGACTGAGCCACCCAGGTGTCCCTGGGTTTGTTTTCAAGCCAAACAATACCTAATGCTAAACTCTATGAAAAAGAGCAAAGGATCTGGAATCAAGACAATCAAATTCGACTAAGACTTTCCGGCTCTTGCATCTGTTACCTATAAAATGACCTTGGGAAGCAGGTATGAACAGGGATATGCTAAGGCTAATGAAGATGTTTTTGTTGTTCCTCAGTGACCAAAATTACTAGGAAATATAGAAAATTATGAAGGAAAATGAGACAACAGCTTTTTTTTAAAAGGGTCAAAATTTGAGTGTAGGAATAATTTCGAAGCAAATCATGAGAAATCTCTAGTAAGAAAAATGTTTCCATTACATAGCCATCTGATTAGCTGCTTTCAAAATGACAGCTGGCCACATGACAGCATTTACACACGTGCACAGGCTCCGGTGGGACCCCAGGACGCCATTCTCTAGGGCAGACTGCCTCACTGCGGGGTAATCTTTATTTCACGAAGCTGGGAGGAACCAACTGAGAACATGGAAACAGAGTCAGAAAGACTGTTGTTATAAATGTACCAAAGTTCTAGATTTCAAATTCAGGTTTAATTATCCAATAGAAGTCATTCTGCTTGATTAATTCTACTTAATGGATTAAATAATTAAAACACCAAAAAATTACGCCATGAAGTATTTCTATGCCAGCACCTCGATCTGGGGTAAGGGACGAGCAGAGGGAAGGTCCAGAGTAGCAAGTCTTTCATTGGTGGATTCTACCTACCAAGTACAAGTATAACATTTATTTCCCAATACCATTCTTATTGATGTTATACATGGCTTTAAGTTTTAAAAAAGAATAATGAGAATTTTTTACGTGGGGAAAAATAAACCACGGGACTTAAGCAACTTCACTTTGGATAGTGTATGGAGATCGAACTGTATTTCATACCATACCACACAAGAGACCATGGGAATACTATTGGTAAACGGAGGGAACAGCCATTTTATTTTACTTGTTACTTTTTAACAAGTGCTGGACGTCGCCGAAGGCAGCATTTCTCAGAATGAGCATCTTTGACTGCCTATGTCACAGGAAGAAGTCTTCTAATGGAGACAGTCTCTGTGACTGCTTCCTAAACACAGACAGCCCGCCCATCCTGCAGATTAACTTCCAGTTTAACGGCCTGGTGAGAATGTGCGTGACGGCTCCACTACTTAGTGCGACGGCTTCCATGCCGGCCGTGGAGAGAAAAGGCCCTGAAGGTAGCAGGTCATCTCTTGTCCCCTCAAACCACGGCACCTCCAAACCAGCGAGCACACAGGGAGGTCTCCTCCTGCTCGGGACCCGGAGAAGGCGCCTACTCTGCTCAGTCGGACCTGGGACTCTGTCGTGCACTGAGCCTTCGCACTGGTGACGGTTGGCACGGTCACCTCATCAATGGTCTGCGCCTGTACTTGACGAGTTTCTCCTGGATCCATTGATTAGCTCATGTACTTTGAGACATGCCACGGTTTGATCAGCATCCCTTTGCGAGCCCCTGTTTCCTCACCATGTAAAGTAGGATGAGATGGTCCTTGGGGTCCTTCAGCTCAAACACAAATCTGAGAAAGCAAACCTTGTTAGAGTCACCGACCATTGCTTGTTGGACTCCCTACGCCCTGCATTCTTTAACACGTATGTATTCCTTGGGCAATCAGAAAGAAAAGACTTTTTTCTTTTTGAAAGAAAGCCTTCTCTTTCTGTTTGGTGTAATGGACTCGGGACAGCCTTTGCTGCCCGTTCCTGGGCTGTACAAAGAAACCGCACAGATGTGGCTCCTGAGACTGGCCCAGGGCAGATGGGTGTACAAAAGGCTGTGGTTCAGGTGTTCTCCTCGGGGTGGTCCAGTTCGTACATGAGACACAGCAAGACAAAGTGAGGCCTGTAGGACACACTGAATTCTCGAGGCCCAGTCCAAAGAAAGGAATATAAAATAATAAAAATACTATTATTAATTTATTTTTATTTTTTAAACATTTTATTTATTTATTTTTTTAAGTTTATTTATTTGAGAGAGCACAAGTGTGTGTGAGCCAGGGGAGGGTTAGAGAGAGGGAAAGAGAATCCTAAGCAGGTTCCACAATGTCAACGTAAAGCCCAATGTAAAGCTCAAACTCACAAACCGTGAGATCATGACCTGAGCCAAAGTCAGACACTTAATTGACTGAGCTACCCAGGCGCCCATAAAGATTTTATTTTTAAGTATTCTCTATACCTACCATGGTGCTTGAAATTACAACCTTGACATCAAGAGTTGCGTGCTCCACGGACTGAGCCAGCCAGGCATCCCAAATATCTATTTTTTTTTTAATATTTATCAATCGGGGCACGTGGGTGGCTCGCCAGTTGGGCGTCAGACTTTGGCTTAGGTCACGATATTGTGGTTCATGGGTTCGAGCCCCACATCGGGCTCTGTACTGACAGCTCAGAGCCTGGAGCCTGCTTCGGATTCTTTGTCTTCCTCTCTCTGCCCCTCCCCCACTTATACTCTGTCTCTCTGTCTCTGTCTCTCTCTCTCTCTCTCAAAAATGAATAAACGTTTAAAAGAAAAATTTTTTTTTTAAAATGTGCTCTCTCTCTCGCTCTCAAAAATAAATAAAACATTAATAGGTATACATACACACACATATATATATGTATACCTATTAATTGTAGATCAGGATCTTGTGGTCCGTGAGTTTGAGCCCTGCATCGGGCTCTGTGCTGACAGCTCGGAGCCTGGAGCCTGCTTTGGATTCTGTGTCTCCCTCTCTCTCTGCCGCTCCCCCACTTATACTCTGTCTCTCTCTCTCTCTCTCAAAAATGAATAAACACTTAAAAAAATTTTTTTTAAATCTATTAACTGTATGCTGAAATGACAATATTTTAGATACACTGGTTTAGACAGTCTGTTAAAAACTGATTCCGCCTGGGGGCATGTGGGTGGGTCAGTTGGTTGAGCATCTGATTCTTGATTTTGGCTTGGGTCATGATCCTAGGGCTGTGGGATTGAGTCCCGCGTCGGGCTCTGTGCTGTGTGCAGCTTGCTTAAGATTCTCAATCTCTCTCTCTCTTTCTCTCTCCCTCTGCCCCTCCCCTGCTCACACATGTACTCTCTTGCTGTCTCTTAAAAAAAAAAAAAATTTTTTTTTAAATAAAAAAAAAATTGATTCCACCTGTTTCTTTTTTTAAAAATTTATTTGAGAGTGACAGTGAGAGAAAGAGAGAGAGAGAGAGAGAGGGAGAGAGAGGGAGGCAGAGAGGGATAAAGAGAATCCCAAGCAGGCTCCATGCCACCAGTGCAGTGCAAGCCCAACATGGGGCTTGACCCCACGAACCCTGAGATCACGACCTGAGCCAAGATCGAGAGTAGGACGCTTAACTGACTGAGCCACCCGGGCGCCCCTCCGCCTGTTTCTTCTAACACTTTCATTTTTTAACTTTATTTTTAACTAATCTCCATGCCCAATGCGGGTCCTGAACTCAGGACCCCAAGATCAAGAGTCTCACGCTCCACCAACTAAGCCAGCCAGGAACCCCTCTTTTCATACTTTCAAACCCCATGTGTGGCTCCCACACTCACGCTGTCCCCCGGGGGGCTGTCTGAGGCTCACGACATAACCAGCTCCACAAGACTGGAAGAGACACAACATGAGCTCTCAGGCTATTGGTTTTGCCTGAAACCAGAGGTCTCTCTCCTGCAACACGCAAACTTTCTGCATCTGCTGTGAACAGGTCTGAATCCACTACGAACAACATCTTCTACTTAAACAATTTATAGCTGTTAGAAACACAAAGTTCTGATTTCTCTACTCTGGAGGGTAGAGGTAGACAGACATATTAAACAAGTCTGATCAGAGCAAACAATTAAAAACACCAAATCTCCCTCATTTTTATTGAGCTATGTATCTGATCTTTTAAATGTTAAGATTTAAAATCTGAATTTGAAAGCTACTTTGTTTCCTCTTGGCTGTAACTTAAAAAACTCCATTATCTTTTCTCAAGCTTAGGAAAAAAGTTGGCTCCAATGATGATGATTTCTTTCTCCAATTGCCACCCAGCTTTCTGAACATACAGCTGGTCATCTGAAAGGAACCAGGCTCCAATCTCATCATGGACTCAGAAAAACAATTTGTTGCTCAGACACACACTGAAAATGAAAACGATGCTGTGGGACTAGCTAGGCCTTGAGGAGCCCCTGCCTCAAGCGGACATGGATCTGCTTCAGTGTCTTGCGGATGGGTTTTCCGGGGTCCACCCTCCTTGTCTCAGGCCTTCTTATCAACAGTCTGAGAACAGGAGCAAGTACTGGCATTGAATGTTCCTCCAGAAAATGTTCATTAAAAACACGGTCTCACGAAACCGGAGGAGAGCAGAACTGATGCCTTCAGACCCTCCTAGTCCTGCCTTTCCAAAGTGCAAGGGCTCTGCTGTGGGACAGCACACGCCAGTGACAGGCTGGGGTTCACACCTTAAGAGTCGGGGGCTCCTTGCTGTACAGGGCAGGTGAACGATGTGTGGTGTTTTCATCTTCAGCTAGATGCACCTGCTCTCATGTAACAGCCTATGAAAACTTGTAGACGCCCAGGTCCATGCCAGCACTCTTCTCCAGCCCACCTCTGGCACACGGGAGACACTTGCCATTGTTGTTGTTAATACCCTTATTTTTAAACCAGTTTCTTGTCCTCGACTAAACAGTCACAAGGGAGGGAAGCAGACACCACACTCCACACAGTGACCAAGAGAATGTCATGAAGCAAATTCCCAAGGTTAAGAAAAAATATACAGAAGAGATGTTCATAAATTGAAAGCGTTTTTGGTATATTCAAATAATGATATACTAGAAAACAAAACCTTGAAAGCCATGTGCCAGGCCAAATATCTGACTCTGTAATGAGCCCATCCTGGGCCAGAGAAAATTCAGTTTCAATCCAAAACACTCAGCAGTCATTCTGAAACCCACCTTTCCCCAAACAGGTAACATCTGACCTGAAATCCAAATGATTTACAAAATAAACTAAACGCACATATAGCAACATACCCTAATTTGGTTTTTAAGCTGCTCGGCCTCCTGCCGTAACTGGTCAAGTTCACTCATTTTCAGGTCCTAGTGCTCTTTAATGCCACTTCAAGGAATCTGAGATCTGAAACAGAAATGCAAGCATAAAAAAATTAATAAACAGTGGTTGAGGAACTTAATGAAGCAGACGAGAAAAGGAACCAAATTTGAGAGCTAAGATTTTATTATAGATCAGAGCACCTTTCTTCAGCATTCATCAGAACTTATAAAATGCCACCAAGGGCTGGATTAATAAATTATAATTACTACTATTCATCAGCTCTGTACCTCAACATCATGTCAATGATCTTGAACCCATGACCCCCCTTCCCCCCAACGATGTCAGAATGCCCACACAGCAAATTCTAAGAAGACTCAATATGGCATCCAGCAGGCCCCTGCTTCAGGGACATCTTGCTCTCCCACCAAAACAGGTCCTGGGATCCCAGTAAACTCAGAAGCAGTACCTCAGTCCTTATAGGTCCACGAGCAGCCATGCCACCCACCCTTAACCCCGCTCCACCCCAGTCTTACTAGACACCATTCCTTAAATCAGAGTCCAAACAAAATCATCCCGTTAAACCAGAGACTTATTTTTCCAAGGGAATGTCATAATTGGGGGTTGCATTTCCGACCAAGAACATGACTAAGTCAGTCATAATTATGACCAATGTATCCCCACACTGAGGATATATCAACATCTCTTAACAATTGGCTCCCCCGTGCAAACGTGGCTTATCCAGGGGCCTCATCGTCCTCTGCAAACACACAAAGGAGATTTTATGCAAAAGTCACAGAGTTAATATTATAATCACCAGATACTTAATTAACAATGGCTATTCATTTTCTTGAGATTGAAACATATCTGGGGGAAATTGTCTGGAGGACCCAGGAAGCATGTTTGTTAGAGTTCCTAGTCTAGATAAACTTCCCTATTCTGCACATACGCACTCAGAATAAATTGACGTGGTTTCCATTACAGAAACTCCATGTATACTTACTGATGAAAACAAAAATATCTTTCCCAAGAAGAAGTATCTTTAAAAAGCGTGTGTGGGTTCTTAGTTCCTGCTCTCAACCGTGCCATCTATTCACAGCTACAGAACAGGCCAGGCAGAGGACAGAGGGGCGGGCAGGGTGCACGCTAGACCTCCAGAAAGCAATCTCGTGTCACCAGCACTGACCTGCAGTGAAAGTCCGCAGAACCATCAGGAAAGGCCTTACAGGGACAGGACAGGAGGTAAAGGCACCTCGGGAAGGTGATACACAGTGACACAGCTTCAGAAATATTTCTGACCAAAATAGTTGTTTCTAAAGGCATTACTTGAAGCGGGTGCCGGAAGCATGTGGAATGCTTCCAAGAACGCCTCGAGCCTCCCTGATCAAAGGGAGCACCGGGGAGGCTACACTGCAGGCACTTTAGCCTGTGGCACACAGGCTGATGCTCACTCCAGCCCTCACCTACAAACTCTTTCGGACTGCAAGCTGTGAACATTAACGTATGTGACAGTAAGAGCACCAAGAACATACGAGGGAATTTTCACAAGAGGAAGCTGGGATGCTGTGTCCTCTGAGCTTGTAGACTGCCCTGGTTCTTCCTGCCGGCCAGGACGTCCTGCCACCGCTCACGTGCACACACGTATGTACATGTGATCATATCACATCTCCTACACGATTACGCAGAGTTGGGAGTAGCTGGATTCCAGCAACATCACCCACCGCCTCTATGTTAGAGAACTGTTCTTAGTCTATAAAGAAGTCACTTTATTCCATCCTTTTAAGAACTGTGAAGAAAAATAAGTTAATGGTTTTCATGACGTGAACTGACTCGTTAGTTTTAGTCAACACATGTAACTTCTTATTTAAACACTAAAATATTGAGCTAATTTTTATTTTTTTTTGAAAATTTTTTAATGTTTATTTGTTTTTTGAGAGGGAGACAGAGCATGAGCAGGAGAGGGGCAGAGAGAAAGAGGGAGACACAGA